CAATAATGTGTTTTATAGAAATCTGATTTCTCCTTATTTAAATCTTAGTCACCCCCCTTCCTTCGAACGGTACATGGGACATACCATTCCTAGCTATTCACCAATGCATGAAACTGCATCTAGTCCCCCTTGCTCATGAGGAAAATCCCCCTCTTTCTCTTGCTTCTTCAATGGAGTTTATAGCCGAATTCCCTTCCCAGAGCCATCTCTCTCCTCCATCAGACACCATCCCTGCCGACAGTTTGGAGCATCATTCGAAAGAATTTTCCCCCTGTGGATACCTTGAATATTTCAATCAATTTCCCGAATTCAGGGACACAGTTCTCCCTGATTATTTTACCCTCGGAACGGGCTCATTCATTCCGGAAGAAGTCCGGCGAACCTTTTCCCGATTCCCTCATCTTATCCACGTCCTCGTTTATGTCCTTCCCCAAATCATTCCTACTACTTTCTGATCCTAGTGATCATTTTCAAAACAATATTTCCCCGATCCACCGCCACAATCGAAGAGATTTCTAATTAAACAGCCGTCCTCTTCTTCCGACTATGCATTCACACATACGTACATACATACACCGACACTTAAGTACCTATAAATTATAACTATAAATTATAACATTAATATTACTAATAAAAAAAATATATTTTTATTTTGTATTTCTGTTCAGTTTTCCAAATTGTAAAACAAACAGTAATCATAAATTATAATTTAATAACAATAACCAAAACACCTTTTTAATTTGTATTTTTATCTAGCTCCGAACACTGTAAAAACGTGAAATTATGTATTTTTTTGTTTTGTTAATGTAGTATTAAATATTCCTCTCGTAAATGCATTCGATCGTTTAATTAAATAAGACTTTAAGTCCTCTATCTCTTAAAGATCACACACAATTCCGTCTCAGATAATTGAGATTGCTATCTCAGACCTAAAAGAGAACCACCAAACGGAATTCTGCGAAACGAAGTAAAATCGACTTCCCTGTCGTTGACTCGTTTCCAGAAATAAACAAACCGTTCGCCTCACAGAGTCAGACCCCTAAAATTCTGGCCTGTGAGTCACTGTAATTACGGTCCGACCGCCCTTCCGCCCAGGTAAGGACGCAACATAGTATTGCTATGTATTTTGAAATTTGATGAGTTAGAAACAAACCTACCCAAGCCGCGAATTGTGATAAGTTAACGTGCCGTAGGACATACAGGGTGTCACAACAAAAGTGACCCTCTTTTATCTTTTAAATTAAAAGAGATAGACCATAACAAATATATATCAAATTAAATGGTTCAAACTGAACTCTATTGTGAGCATAATAGTTGCTTACAAAAGCTATTCGTGTTAACGAACGGAGAGTATGCATAATTTTTTTATAATAATGTGGATATTTTGATGTAAGAAAAGTTGTAGCGCTGTTTGAAAAGAATACAACGATGTATAATTTAATATAAATATTTTACATATTATACGAGTTTTATCGGCTTGAAATATCGCGGGCGACGTCTACCTTTTCATTTTCGGCTCAACTTCAATAATTAATTAATAATTAACAGCGCTACAACTTCAATTGATATACGTCTATCTCTAACGCACGAGTCAAAAGTTGGTCATATCGCAGGGCCGAAAGTGAAAAGGTAGACGTTACTCGCGATGTTTCAAGCCGATAAAACTCGTATAATATGTAAAATAATTATATTAAATCATATATCATTGTATTTTTTTCAAACAACGCTACAATTTTTCTTACATCAAAATATCCACATTATTATAAAAAAATTATGCATACCTCTCCGTTTGTTAACACAAATAGCTTTTGCAAGCAACTATTATGCTCACAATAGAGTTCAGTTTGAACCATTTAATTTTATATATATTTGTTATGGTCTATCTCTTTTAATTTAAAAGATAAAAGGTGGCCACTTTTGGTGGGACACCCTTATATGATTTGTTATAAACTTATTGCTTATCAATTCGCGAATCGAGTATATGTAAATACCTATGGCAGCATAAGCAAGTTACAAGTCATGACAAATCATCATTGAACTATATATGTACTGGAATAGCCATGCTACGTATACATGCCATGCTACGTTTACATTGACGACTAGCGAGCTTGAAATAGATAGTTTGTGTGTTCAGTTACACGTCTATACGCATGCACACATTATTAAGGATACAGGTAGGGCAAAAAGTTTATACGCTCGATTCGTTGGTATTGTACCGATTGTACCTACTATTGCGTCAAATAACAGTCAAAAGTTTCGAACTTGACTGTACGTAGAAAGACAGCAATATACATGTGGTTTTCTTGTCTCTTTTGACTCATAACAAGCGATTCAGTATCCATTCCAGTATACATATATAGGATGTCTTACTTAAGACCGGCCACCTGAATAACACCCACAGTTTTGGAGATAGGAAGAAATGCTTGAAGTAAAAGTTGTTTGGTGCAAAGAGAGAAAAAACATGGGGATATTAGTTTGACCTCGAGTGAAGACGTTTCAGAGATTTGAAGGTCATCGCCATTTTTTTTTAAATGAAACTATCTTAATTTTTTATATAAATCGATTCCTTACAATATTCGTCGTAAAAAGTTATGAGGGTAGAATGACCCAAAATTGAATAGTTTACGAGATACTTTATACTTTAATTTGACATAATTTACACAAACTATGAAATTATTTCGTTAAATATTTAATTTTCAATTATCTTACCTCAACACCTTTATGCACACAAATGAGAGGAATCAATTGGTAAGTAAAAAAAACATAGTTATCTTGAAGAAAAAATATGTAGCTGAAATAATACCATATTATTATTTTTTCTTAAAGACAACTATGTGGTTTTTTCTAAGATTTAAAATTTTTGTCACTTAATGAAGATATTTTATTCTTTATGTTAGCAATTCTATTAACAAATTGAAATCGTCGGTTAACGTTAACCGACATACGCTCGTATCATCTATCGTTAAATTAAGGAACTAATGTATGGCATATAAATACATGATTTATTTGGTTGTCTTGACAGCGCGTAGTAACATTTAGTCAAATGTTTTCTTTCATCTAATGTATCTTTAGTCTTTGTTTCACCGTTAATAAATACACACATTTTGAGTTAACGGATCTGACGCTGCATGTAAAGTGTACGCGTGTGATTATGTAGCGCTCGAAAGTAATTTGTGCAATTTTATACGTATTACGTGGTATCGTGTAGTTAGAGAGTGTATTTTGATTTCTAGCTTTTTTTTAGCTATTTATTGAGAGGCCAGTCTCAAGTTTAATTGCAGGAAAGCCTGCTTTTATCGGTGTGAAGGAGAGTAACCTCCCTGATCCCTTCCCACATGGGCAACATGCCTCGCTCTCAGTCTCGTTCCCGCCTTAAAGGCAACAAAAGCAACTTAAAGCAATACGCCGGGGTAAGCAATATTAAGAAAACTATCTCTACCTCTAGTTCTCTAATAATTAGTGATTCTGATATGGATATGAACATTGATAATGCTCTAACCTTCTCTAAGGAAAATATTAATTCGATTTCACCAGAGATCCTAAGAGTATCTCTGACATAATTGGTGTTAATTTTACCAATTTATGCCCAATTCACGATCATGCCTCTACTTCTACTATCCCAACTACATCGGGGATCAAATGATTTGCCGACGAGGACACTAGCTCGGCTACTGAGGTTAAAAAGCCCAATAAAGTTATCATATCTAATAATTCCAAGGATATTTCTAGTCAGACAAGTGAGCCAAAGAATGCCCTTGCTACCTTAATTAACAATAGATACGCGCATACTAATCAAGGCCCCTTCTACGTTTATATCCAATCTGCTTCTTCTCCTCCCTCACCCATTCACCCTCTTTATATAGGTCGCTCTTTGACTAAGTGGGGTAAAAATGATTTCACTGAGATAAAGAAGCTGGGCTTTTTCAAGATTTCAGTCAAATTCAGGACCAAAGATACGGCTAACCTTTTAGTCTCACAGCAGCCTTTTAAAGATCGTAATATGACGTGTTTTATTCCTAATTATAAGGTTTTTTGTTAGGGTATTGTTCGTAATATCCCTATTGACATGGATTTGGATGAACTCAAATCGAGAATTGACTGGCCCTCTAAGATCACTTGCCTTGAGAAGACTTAATAGAAGAACCACCGTTGAAGATGAGTCTGGTGTAAAATCCACTCAATTTGTACCTGCTAAGACTATTGTTATATCTTTTCTAAACCAAATCCTCCCCAAATACATCTACATATTTGGTGTCAGATACGAGGTCGCTCTTTTTGTTCCAAAGACTACAATTTGCTACTCATGTTACAGATTTGGCCCCTCAGCCACCCAATGTAGAGGCAAACCTTGTTGTTCTCATTGTAGTCACTCAGACTATGATAATTCAACTCCTTGCCCTAATACTGCACCTTCGCCATCTTGTGCAAATTGTAGAGAAGAATACTCTCTTATGGACCCTCTTTGTCCTGAGTTTGTAATTCAGAGAAATGTGCAACTTCTTGCAGCTGATAGAAATATCCCTCTTAAAGAGGTGAGAGATCTGCTCTCAGGCAAAAACCCTGATTTTAATCTGAGGAACGACATTCTTAATTCCCCTCTCTCTCCCCTCGTAGGAAGCTCCTCCCCTGATTCACCACCCAGTTTTTTTCATTTTTCTTCACCTCTCTTCAGATCATCTCCCTATAATAGCAACTCTCCGCCCAGTCAACTTGGTATTTCTTACGCACAGGTGACTGACAATTCCAATAATAAAACCAACAAGCATCTGTTTTCTACTACTAGTAAGGGATTTTCTGCCCCTTATGCCCCCCCTCCCCGCTCACTCGTCCTAATCAGGACGGCCGAGGTTCAGGGCATGACTATTTACTGGAACCTAATGATCGATCTCTTTTCAGACCTCCAGACGGATGTGCTATCCCTTTTGAACAACTTAATACTATTCACCCCCCCCCCTCCCATCCTTCTGGCTCTCAAGAGAGTCAGCTAAACCTTATTTTCCAACTACTCACGCAGTTGATAGCTGCGTTTACCCATATAAATCTTTCTCTGCATAATCTTTTTATTAATAGATCCCCTTTGCCTTATCCTTCTCGCGAAAACAAACTTTTTTCCAATGCCTTGGATAACTCCCATAATGGATAAGTCTTTCAACAGCAATATAAAAATTTTTCAATGGAATGCCAGAGGACTTGTTTTTAAGAAGGGTGAACTTCTTGAAGTTATCAATAACTACGATATAATTACTATCTCTGAGTCTTGGTTAAATCCTAACTTTCATTTTTTTATTCCAGGATTTACGATTTATAGAAGAGACTCATCTCGCTATAAGTCTAGCGGTCTATGCCTCATGATCTGTAATGACATCCAATCTGTTGTTGACAATGAGATCAAACACTATGAAGGACTTTTAAACACTCTTGGTGTTTTTCTTTCAACCGCACAAGGTCAGTTACTCATGCCTCTTTATAAGCATCCAGAATTTCGTATAGGATATGATCATTGGAATTCGCTTTTTTCTTCTTTTAAAAACTTTAAAAACATTATAGTCCTGGGTGATTTCAACTCTCATAATCTTTCTTGGGGTTGCGCTGTTACCTCCTTAGCTGGTAGATCATTGGAAGAAGCAGCATCTGATCATAACCTTGCTATTCTTAACAACGGTACGGCAACTAGGCTGACATCTCCTCTTTAAAATAAAAGTGCTGTTGACCTCACCTTTGTCAATCCAGATCTTATCCCAGTTTATTTTTGACAAGTTTTAGAAGATTCCATGAATAGAGCGATCACTTTCCTATTGTCACCACTATCAATATTACAATTTTCTATTCTAAAAGGTTCTGTCATAAAATCGACAATAATACGATTGACTTAAAAGCTTTTAAAAGACACTTTGTTCTCCAGGAAGACGAAATCTCAACCAGATTACAAAGCGATGACTTCGACACCTCTGAACAAATTAACTATCTCTCTACACAATTTATTGAGGCAGTCAATTCAGCTAATGGTAAACCTCTTCATTCCAACTTTCAAGCAACCTATTGTTTGGTTAAAGGCCCTCCACCAGCTCCCTGGTGGAACCTAGATTGTCAATTAGCCGCTTTAGAAAGGAAGACAGCCTTACAAAACTTTAAAAAACTTCCCTCCTTCTCCAATTACACCTTTTTTAAAAGACAAGAAGCTTCGGCCAAAAAAGTATTTTGCAAAGCTAAAAGCGAATCTTGGAAAAAATTCTGCAGCAAAATTGAATTTAAAACAGCTCCTGGAAAGATCTGGAAGGTTATTAAATGTTTTCAAAATCGGAATCTCTCCGATGTAATATGTCATCCAAATTCCAACCAAAAAAATCAAGGACATTATTCACTCTCTCTGTCCAGATTCCTGTGCTCCTCTTGCTTTTTTCGACGAATCAGACTTTTCTTCAGGGGAGTGTTTACTCTCTCGACCAATTTTAGTCTCCGAGGTTTCGGACGTCATAACTAGGCTTAATTTACGCTCGTCCCCGGGTATTGACGGTATTAGTTATCGCATAATCTATCATCTACCTATCTTCATGCATGACCTTATTTGCAAACTCTTTAACCAAATTCTTTCTTCAGAATCTTTCCCCCACGATTAGAGAAAAACTTTGGTCTTTCTAATCTCTAAAGCCACTCCGGGCAAATACCGTTCTATCTTACTGACCTCTTGCCTTCTTAAGATCATGGAAAAAATCATTGCTTCAAGACTCCAATGGTGATGTGAGCACAATAAAGTAATTGCTAAATCTCAATTCGGCTTTCATAGAGGTAAGTTATGCTATGACAACTTGGCACTTCATTCATCAGAAATCTTTACGGGTCTTGCTCCCTCTCAGTTCACGCCTTGTCTTTTTCTCGATATCAAAGGAGCGTTTGATAACCTTCTCTTCAACATTCTAATTCATATCTTAAGGGAGTTAAAAATTCCTGAAAGACTCTGCAAATTCATTTATAATCTCACTTCTTTTTGCACTCTTTTCTTCAACATAAATGGGGATTTATCTCAACCATATCATACATATAAGGGTGTGCCCCAAAGGTCGGTATTAAGCCCTCTTCTATTTAATTTATATATTAATAAATTACGTAACCAAATATCTAATAACTGTCGCCTCCTTCCATTCGCAGATAACACTGCCATCTATACAAGAGGTAATAATATAGAAGAAATTTTCCTTAACCTGTCTACATCTGCATCTAAGGTTGTCAGCTACCTTGAGGATATTGGTTTGGAAATCTCCCCTTCCAATTCATCCTTGGTTATTTTTACCAGGAAGAGGATAGACCCTTTTTCCTGCTGTATTGATGTCAATGGAAGCCTTATTGACTCGACCGTCGAGTCTCGACGGATCGTGCAAAATTCTTGGGCATTTTCTTTGACTACAGATTTTCAGGACATTTACATGTTAATTACCTTCTCTCCAAAGGCTCGCACTTGGCTTCAGGAAAACTACTCTTACTAACATCCTTCTTGCCGAGGCCTGTGTACTACCCTTATATTCTAGATTTTTGCTCCTTATTCGAAGATACCTTATAAGGGTCTTCTCGTTGAATAAACATCCGCTAATTCATAAACTGGAAGATCTTTCTAACATAACTTCTATTTACATCAGACACAACCTTTCCAACTCTTTTCTTCTTCTCAAGGCCTATTACCATATTCGAACTTTTAGAAATCATATTAAACCTGAACCACTGGCTATTGCTTATTCAACACCCTATAACGCATTACTTTGGACACCTAACATTAAGATTACCGACAGATCCAACTTTGATGAAAACTCAGACTCTAATCAGATCTTCAAAATGATTTATGGTGACTTAATCAGAGGAAAAAACGTTTTTTATACCGATGGATCCAAAAAATCCGATGGCCTCTATGTGGGTCTGGCTTATGCCCCTTCCTTGGATCACTCACAGAATATCATCTTATGCCTCCATCTTCACTGCTGAAAGTATGGCAATAGATATTGCTATCAATCTTATTGTTTCCAACCAATTCAAAAATTCTGTTATCTTTACAGACTCTCAAAACATTGTCCGCTCTATTGCTAATTGCTCACCACTTCATTGTACAATAAAAATAAACTTGCTATCCGTCTTAAAAATAAACTTTACTCAGCACACGAAATGGGGTTGCAAATTGAGCTTATTTGGATCATTGCCCATATAGGAATAGCCGACAATGAAATGGCAGATCGCCTTGCAAATTTAGCCATAAGATATGGTAACAACTTAAATTCTTTACTCTGATTTTTTCTATCATTTTAAAAAAAAAGTAAACTCAAGATTTTTCTCTTTTCTAGATCGTTGGAAAAATGTAAAAGGTACTCACTACTTTAAATATTTCTATAACAAAGCCAAAAAACCTTGGTTCCATTCCTTCCAATCTTCAAATCGCAAATTGATCTCTTCCTTATCTCGCATAAGAAGTAACCACTATGGTTTAAACGCTTTTCTTGCTCTTCTTTTTAATATTGTCAACTCGAGATGTCAATGTGGCTATCAGTTTGAAAATATTGAGCATGTTCTATGGAATTGTCCACTTTATAATGATGCTAGAACTGTTTTCCACTCGGAATTACTAAAAGCTGAAATCAACCCTCCTTTTTCAACAATTATTCTATTAAAAAACCCCTATATCGAGACTTTGCATGCCTTTAAAATTTTTCTTAGGATGTCTAACCTCTCTTTTTGAATTTCCCGCTTCCTCAATTACCCCCTTTCCACCGAACCAGTGTTGCGATATGGGACCGGTTGTATGCGCATGTGCGGCAATACGGCGTCAGTACAGTGTCTCATACAAGTTAAACAAGGCACCGTTACCCCGCTACATTAAAAATATTTCAAAATTTTTTGAAATTGATTGAAATTTTCTACTTCTTGGTTTTTTAGCTGCTGGCTTCGTAGATTCCATGCTTGTAAATAAATAAATCTTACCTTATTTGTAGTCACCTAACCTTCTCATGTCAAAACGTCCCGTCATAAGCCGAGAGCACAAGCTTTTACATAAAGCATAACGCATAAGCATAAGGAAATTGATTGGTCTATATATAAACATAAGCAAATGCATAAGGAAATGGACCAATCAATTTCCTTATGCTTATGCGTTATGCTTTATGCAAAAGTCTGTGCTCCGGCCATTAACCTGCGTAACGTGATATCGTGAACGTGTTGTAAGTTGTAAGTTTTAACGCGAGGACTGTTAAGAAATACTTTGTGCAAAGTATAAGGTATGTTATATTCTTGATTCTGAAATATAAACATCTGCGTAACTCTTCCGATATGATGTTTGTAAGCAATCACGCACATGCCTTATTTTATGTTCATCCTGTTACGTTTAGATTTTTTATTCAAATGACAAGGATATTTAACAATTATTATCCTCATCTTCGATCAAAAACAAATGTTAATTTAAAACAATTTTTTGTACACCGTTGTAAAGAAATCGCTTTTTCTTTGCCTGCGTGCCACAATTTAAAAGAAAAGATTATAAAAAGGTACATTTCGTTTAAATTGAAAATTAATTCTAGAGCCTTACCTTCATTTAATCAAAATGGTATTCGTGCGAGCAAAAGTATGGTAATGCATGCCTATATTAAATAAATGCATGATTTAAACTTTTTTCGGCTTAGTATTTCATTTACTATTATTCCTTTGGAATTAACTTTGAGTAAGTTTATTACTTTTATTACTTTTATTTCAGATCTTTTAGATACAACCATATCCACCTCTCAAAGGAACTGCATTAAAATTTTATAAATAGAGGAT